ATTTCCACAGATCCCCCCATGATGTAAGAATTTTACTACATAATATTTTGCCAGATTTAGGAAGCACTGGTGGTAAAGCCTCGTATACACGGCGATGTCTGCGTTCGATTCCCAGCCAGGGTAGAAACATTGGGCGTGTTTCTTTACACCTGTCGTCTATGTTCACCCATCAGTAATGGGTACCTGGGTGTTAGTCGACTGGTGTGGTTGCATCCTGGAACACTGACCTATATTTGCCCGAAATAACAAGGGGCTTCTATATAGAAGTATGTCATTGATGTCAGCTAGGACTGTATACCATATACATGTACTTGTAGTAAATAAAGAAAATTATGGAGTACCATCCACGAGAAAGCGGGTCCGTTTAAAGAGACGAGAAAACGGGACCATTTAAAAGGGAAACTTCTATAGGTTATATAAAGTAAACGTGGCTCATTAAAATACTAAACTCATTTAAAGAGGGAAACATCTGTAATTACAAGGAAGACGGCTACAGTTATTCATCCTACATGATTCTGAGGTAAACTCTGGCTCAACCTGTTCTTAGTAATTTACATGGAATTTTTTGAAACAAGATTGTTTAAGACAATTCTTCCTAATAGAGCTAAGTGATATAGATATGTTGATGATATTTTGTGTCCTATGCCTAAGAATGTAGATATAAACCATTTCCTTGTTAAATTAAATAATTTAGCTCATTCTATAAATTTTACTGTTGAGTCCAAAGAAAATAATTCATTGCCTTTCCTAGATGTTTTAATTATTCAGGGGAGACATGATAACGACATACAAAATATTGCGTGAAATAGATAAAGTGGACAGAGACAGGATGTTCCAGAGATGGGACACAGCAACAAGGGGTCACAATTGGAAGCTGAAGACTCAGGCGAGTCACAGGGATGTTAGGAAGTATTTCTCTAGTCATAGAGTCGACAGGAAGTGGAATAGCCTAGCAAGCGATGTAGTGGAGGCAGGTACCATACATAGCTTTAAGACGAGGTATGACAAAGCTCAGGAAGCAGAGAGAGAGAGGACCTAGTAGCGATTAGTGAAGAGGCGGGGCCAGGAGCTGAGTATCGACCCCTGTAACCACAATTAGGTGATTACAATTAGGTGAGTACACACACACACACCACCACCAACAAGGAATACACCAACAAGTGTTGGACGACATACATACAGATGAGGAGGAGGTGAAGAAACTGCAAAGGGACATCGATACCTCAAAGGCAATGGGACCGGACAACATCTCTCCGTGGGTCCTTAGAGAGGGAGCAGATATGTTGTGCATACCACTTACCACAATCTTCAACACATCCCTGGAAACTGGGCAACTACCTGAGGTATGGAAGACGGCAAATGTAGTTCCCATTTTCAAAAAAGGAGACAGAAAAGAGGCACTAAACTATAAACCTGTGTCATTGACGTGTATAGTATGCAAAATTATGGAGAAGATTATCAGGAGGAGAGTGGTGGAGCACCTGAACGGCACAGGAGTATAAATGCCAACCAGCACGGATTCACGGAAGGCAAATCCTGTGTCACAAACCTCTGGAGTTTTATGATAAAATAACAGAAGTAAGACAAGAGAGAGAGGGGTGGGTTGATTGCATCTTCTTGGACTGCAAGAAGGCCTTTGACACAGTTCCTCACAAGAGATTAGTGCAGAAGCTAGAGCATCAGGCGCATATAACAGGAAGGGCACTGCAATGGATCAGAGATACCTGACAGGGAGGCAACAACGAGTCATGGTACGTAATGATGTATCACAGTGGGCACCTGTGACGAGCGGGGTCCCACAGGGGTCGGTCCTAGGACCAGTGCTTATTTTTTGGTATATGTGAACGACATGACGGAAGGGTTAGACTCAGAAGTGTCCCTGTTTGCAGATGATGTGAAGTTAATGAGGAGAATTAAATCTGATGAAGACAGGCAGGACTTCAATAGACCTGGACAGACTGGACACCTGGTCCAGCAAATGGCTTCTCGAATTTAATCCTGCCAAATGCAAAGTCATGAAGATAGGGGAAGGGCACAGAAGACCACAGACAGAGTATAGGCTAGGTGGCCAAAGACTGCAAACCTCACTCAAGGAGAAAGATCTTGGGGTGAGTATAACACCGAGCATGTCTCCGGAAGCACACATCAATCAGATAACTGCTGCAGCATATGGGCGCCTGGCAAACCTGAGAACAGCATTCCGATACCTTAGTAAGGAATCATTCAAGACACTGTACACCGTGTATGTCAGGCCCATACTGGAGTATGCAGCACTGTTTGGAACCCGCACTTGATAAAGCACGTCAAGAAACTAGAGAAAGTACAAAGGTTTGCAACAAGGTTAGTTCCAGAGCTAAGGGGAATGTCCTATGAAGAAAGATTAAGGGAAATCGGCCTGACGACATGGAGGACAGGAGGGTCAGGGGAGACATGATAACGACATATAAAATACTGCGTGGAATAGACAAGGTGGACAAGGACAGGATGTTCCAGGGAGGGGACACAGAAACAAGAGGCCACAATTGGAAGTTGAAGACACAAAATGAGTCAGAGAGATAGTAGAAGTATTTCTTCAGTCATAGAGTTGTAAGGCAGTGGAATAGCCTAGAAAATGACGTAGTGGAGGCAGGAACCATACACAGTTTTAAGAAGAGGTTTGATAAAGCTCATGGAGCGGGGAGAGAGAGGGCCTAGTAGCAACCGGTGAAGAGGCGGGGCCAGGAGCTAGGACTCGACCCCTGCAACCACAAATAGGTGAGTACAAATAGGTGAGTACACTCGCAGGTATGGAAATTCAGGGAAACCAGTTAGCTGGGCATCACACAAGTCACAGTATTATGGCTACACAATTCACGCAGATAATTCTTTATTTTATCGTAGGATTAAGAAATTAGTTGAAATGAAAGTAACCTGCAACTGGAAAACAACTGAACGCTCTGTTTGGAGGTAAAGTTCATGGATGACTTACCATAAACCCTGAAGGCGTAGACGGCCTTGATGTCCCTCGGGGCATGTTCACTGAACACTGAGAACATCTCCAGGAACTGGTCAAAAGTGAGTCTTGCTGATCTGTCTCCACTAAAAACCTCGCACACACGACGGCGGAATGGGTTTTCCTGTCGGGGTGAATGTGTTAGTTTAGTGAGAATGGATGTACCAGCAGTGTGCTGCTACACTATTCTCTACAACAGTAGCATCTATTATAACAATAATAATATATTTAGGTAAAACATTGGTTTTCCGGGCGGGGGGACTGATTCCCTTACTTTCACTGTCTTCTGTGCTAGTTAACTGTAAGGCTTTTATTTTATTTTGCTGTTATCGGTACTTAAGCCTAATTTGCCTTTATTAACTGAAAATTCCTTTTCCGATCAATTTTAAAACTTTCAATGTCAATGTGTCTTTTCCCAAAGGGGAAGTTTTTTTTAATATATTTAAATAACTGACAAATATTATTAATAAAAAAAATTGGGTATTTATTATTTCAACCTTAAAAAACAACTTGGACCAGAGTGAAAAAAAAATTAACGGGGCCTATATAGCCTTCAACTCGATATAAACGTAAATTTTACGAAATTCCCCTTAAACCCTCATGGCGATTTTTTCCAAATCCTAATTTAAAATTTTAAAATTTAAATTTAAAGGGTGTGGAGTTAAAAGAAAAAGAACAACAAAAATGGGATTGCACAGCTGCCGGGCTATACACGTCTCTTGGGTTTCTGAAGGAAGTTCAGGGGTTGGGGATAAATTTGGTAGGGTATGTAAAAGAGAAAATTGAAAGTAAAAAGGAAAGAGTAAGGTTATGAGGATAAAAAAAAAGATTGGGTGATGAAAATTGGATATCAATTGGGGGAAAAGGTATGGAGGAGGGTAAATGTGTTCAGATATTTGGGAGTGGACGTGTCGGGATGGGTCTAGAAAGATGAGGTGAATCATAAAAATGAGAGGGAAAAAGGGTGAGCGGTGCACTTGGGGTCTGTGGAGACAAAAAAATTTTTGGGCCTTTGGAAACAAAAAAGGGGATGTATGAGAGTATGTTTTATCCGCCCTGTATGGGTGTGAAGCATGGGGATAAATGTTACGCGAGGAGAAGGCTGGAGGCAGTGGAGATGTCATTTTGAGGGCAATGTGTAGTTTTAAATATAAGCAGAGAATTTCGTAGTTTGGAAGTTGGAGGAGGTGCGGGATTGCCAAATGTTGTCCGGGGGGTGGGGAAAGGGGTTTGTTGAGGGGGTTTCGAATGTGGGAAAAATGGAGCGAAAGAGAATGATTTTAAAGAGTGTATCATCTGTAGTGGAAGGAAGGCGCGGCAGAGTCTCCCTAAAAAAAAGGTTGGGGGGAGGGGTAAAGGGGGTTTTTGGTGCGGGGGGCTTGGATTCCAGCGGGCATGTGTGAGCGTGTTTGATAGGAGTGAATGGGACAAATGGTTTTTAATATTGACGTGCTGTTGGAGTGTGAGCAAAGTAACATTTATGAAGGGGTTCAGGGAAACCGGCGCGGATTTGAGTCCGGGGAGATGGGAAGTAACATGCCTCCCTTTGGGGGGGGGTTTTAATGTTGCACCTTTGGCAGACAGTGATGGAGTGAATGGGTAAAAAGTTTTTCTTTTTCGGGCCCCCTGCCTTGGGTGGGAAATGGGGCCGGTTTTTTAATAAAAATAAAAAATAAATATTACCCTTTTTCATGTGTTCACACCTACATAATACTAATGTTCAAGTGTTCACACCTAGGTAATACTAATTTTCAAGGGGTTCACACCTGCATATGCTAATGTTCAAGTGTTACATACATAATAGTAATGTCAAGTGTTCACACCTAGCATAATAGCTAATGTTCAAGTGTTCACACCTAGCATAATAGCTAATGTTCAAGTGTTCACACCTAGCATAATAGCTAATGTTCAAGTGTTCACACCTAGCATAATAGCTAATGTTCAAGTGTTCACACCTAGCATAATAGCTAATGTGTGTTTCATTGTGATCGGTCTATTGGTTTCCATTATATAAACAAGAGAAAAAAAAAAACGTGAAAATCAGTTCAGAGATCCTCTGAGCACAGATTTATTTGTTCATTAACTCTACGGGAATTACACACCAATCATAGCCATGTTTGAGTATGGACATGTATAAATGTACGTACTCACCCAATTTTGGTTGCAGGGGGTTTGGACCCGCTCCTGGCCCGCCCTTCACTGGTCCACTAGGGGCTTCTCTCCCCCTGTTCCCTGAGCTTTATCAAAACTCGCTTAAAAACTAGTATGGTTCCTGCCTCCCTCACACTTCCTATATTCCCCTTCCCGACAACTCTATGACGGTAAAAAATACTTCCCAACTCCCTTTGTCTCTCTTCCAATTGGACCCCTTGTGTCTGTGTCCCCTCTCTGGAACATCCTTTCTCTGTCCACCCTTTTTCTATTCTGCAGTATTTTGTATTCTTTTTCATGCTCCCCACCCTCCTGTCCTCCAGTGTCGCAGTCCCCATTTCCCTTAACCTTTTTCGTTGGGTATTTCCTTTGCTTTGAATCCTTTTGAAACCTTTGCATTTTTTCTAATTTCTTGACGTGCTTGACCAGGTGTGGGTTCCAAACTGGGGGCTGCATACCCAAAGGGCCCGACGTACAAGGCTACAGAGTCTTTAACGATTCCTTACTTAGGTATCGGAACCTATTCTAAGGTTTTTCCAGGTGCCCTATGTGCAGCGTTATTGGTTTATGTGTGTTTCCCGGGGTCGTGCTCGGATTATACTCACCCCATGTATACTGTAAATATACATTATGTAATATAACCAACATCAAAAATGCATAGCGCACACAAGCTTACTCCCATGTTACTTTCAAACCACACACAGACATTACAGGCAAAAACCCCTCACACTAGAAGGCGGGGCTGTGAATCGACCCCCGCAACCACAAATGGGTAAGTACAGGTATGCATGCCATGCAAAAACAAAATGCCAAATAGCACAAAACATTTATACACAATCATATAAATTAAACATACATACATTTTGAAGCATACATTTTACATTAAAACACATGCATGCTAATACATATTCACATGACAAAATGTACAAATATTTAATACATATACCAAAAGTGTACATCCATTCCCGCATTCAGGGTACAATACAAAACACAAGCATGCATATGTACATACAACATACACTATGCATACCAAATATTGTATGCACACGCGCTACATGAAAAAAAAGAAGTCGACATATATTTAAGTATGCATATGTTTTACATGTAGTAACATATTCTCCATACATGCATGTGCATTTGTACACACGCATAATCAGCATAAAATCACAAAAAATACATACTAAAAGGCATGATACGTACATTATTCATTAGAGAATGTTATGCATACACAAGCATACTTATGCACATGGGGTGCATACAACACATTTTAAATATTTACATTTTTCCTTTCCCGGATCATTGAGGTAGGGAGGGGGGCTTATTGACTACAGGGTTACCTTTCACCCGCATTTCTACCATTAAATTTTAGTATTTTTAAAATTTTGTAAAAAATTTCATTTTGTCCCCGTTCCTGGGAAATAACATTTTATTTCCCCAAATTTTTTATAACTAAGCAAAATTTAAAAACAAAATTTTATCCCCGAACTTTGGTTTTGTGGGGAGGGGACTTTGGAACACTTTCAAAAAAGACTGAGTAAAAAAAATTATGTTCTGGGTTTTGGTTGACAAAAAAAAAACAGGAACTCAAAAACCCAACTTTCGTTCAGCTCTTGCTCCCTGAGAAGACAAAACAGAAAAAAGTGAAATGGCATCAAGGCTGAAATCTTTTTTCCCAGAGCATTTGTAAAATTGTGGCAATTCTTTAAAGAAAAGAAAAAGAAGTTCTTTTAAACAGATTAAAAAAAATGTGTGACGCTTCAAAGCATATTTTGTCATGCGTTGTGGACAAGACAAGACCTGGGGGCCCCATGTTGCTTGTGAAACATTGAAAGAAAAACTTTGGGAAAAGAAGAAATCATTAGTTTAAAGGGTAAAATTTGAATGGAACTTTTTTTTTTTTTAAATGTAGTATGTAACGAAACCAATTCTTTTCTTTTTGGGATGGTTGGGAAAAAAAAACCATGAATTTGTTTGTTCCTAAAAAATTTGTGTGAACCCATGATCCTCAACCAACTGGCTACTTCCTTTTTTTCCCCCCCTCCCCCCCCCCCCCCACCCCCACTAAAACCCCCCTATTTTACCTCCCCCATTCCCCAACCCCAAATTTTCCCCCCCCCTTCCTACACCCCCAAAAAAAGATGTCAACGTCAGAAGAAGAAGGCGCAAATCAGAAATAAAGAGCACATAACAAGACTATGATCTCACAGATGCGCTTTTGGGAGGAATATTACTCCCCAAAACCAAACAGACCTGTGACCTTATCGGATCTTGGTTTGACAAAGTGAAATGCTGGTTTTTTTTTCCCAAAGGCTAAGGAGTGGACTTGGTGGATGAAAGTGTGCAAGTGACAAGCCAAAGAAAACGTCACCAACATTTCTCAAGCTTCTTCACTAACGATGACAGGTTGTGTAACTATAACGATGTATCAGGCCGTTTGTGCAACGGAACTGTAGCAGCCCAGATGAGTGTAGATCTTCATTGACAGTTCCTCCAGAAGCCTAAAAGTCTGTACTTCTGCACAATGGGAACAAGTATCCATCTCTTTCCTTGGCTCATTCAGTGCATGTTAAGGTCCATATCCTTGATGCTCATCTTGACAGTTTCAAGGAGAATATGGGAGCATACTCAGAGGAGCAAGGGGAGCGCTTCCCTCAAGAAATAATGGACTTTGAACGCAGATATCAGATCTCATAATGAAAACATGATGGATCTTATAATGAAAACATTTAGGAGCTTAAACGGGAAAGTGATTTGTTGCATGCTCGCAAATCTAGAAAAACTGCTCATTTTTAACTTTGTAAATATGTTTAACTTTGTAAATTTGTGTAAATTTTATTTTATTTATGTAAATTTTATTTATTTTATTATATGTGTTTGTTTTACACCCAAAACTAGCAAAAAATATTGAAATTTATCCATTTGTGGTCAAAAATTCATCCTGTAAGCCACAAAAGCAAAGTTTACAAGGAATAATGGGCATTTTCTATTATTTTGCAATAAATAACACTTACTTGCCAGGAACAAAAATTATGTTACTATGTTATTTATTATAACTACTACTATACTACTACTACAGATACAAAAATTACTAAAATAAAAATGTACTTCATTCTACTTATTTAAAATAGTACATTTTTCTAGATGTGATACCTAAAAATATCAGTGGTTTACCCAAAAGTGGATGAAATTTTTGTTATCTACCTTAGGGTATTTTAATCCTGTTTGGGTTTTAAATGTATTCTTGACTGGTGAAATTTTATGAGATATGGTCTTTAATGATTCTGTGAGAGAAACCTTTAGTCTTTGTAAACCCTAAGTTCCATTGGTACCCTACTGCAATTTCTTGGGTTTTATTACTTTACTTCAAAACTACAAATACTATCATACCATCATACCACCACCTTTACACTACTAATATACCATTCTATTTTTTACTATACCGTATTCTTTATTGTAATATGTTGCGTCGGTGCTGCTGTGCTCTGTGTGCTACTTTACTACATTACTATTAATACTACTACGATTCTGTCGTAGTACTGGATACTGCTATCTACTAATACTACTCTTTCTGCTCTGCTACTCTATTTCTTCTGTTATGCGACTACTGTTACTACTACTGTTGCTACTTCTCTTTACTGTGATTATTGCACTGTTGTACTACTACTACAAAATATTTTACCGCCTCAGAGTCAATAAACTATCCCAATATAGTAAAAAACCCCCAACCAACCACAAAAAAAAACCCACCACACCCCCCCCCCCCCCCCCCCCCCCCCCCCCCCCCCTAAAAAAACAGGAAAAAAACTTTTTTTCACTTGGGTAAGGGAGGGGGTGTTGAAACACTTAAAAACCCACTTTTTCAAAATCTCAACCCACAAATTTAACGAGAATATTTTCTTTAAGAAAAGGAAATTTTTTTTTACAAGAAAAAAATTTAAGACAAAATTTTTTAACCAAAATATTAATAAAAAAAAAATAAATACGAATAAATTTTAAAAAAAAACTTTTTTTTTTTTTTTTACCTAAAATACTAAAGGGGATATTCAATACTGATAATTAAAAATCCCCAAAGAAATTTTAGCATGAAAAAATTCTTTATAAAAAAAAATTTAATATAAATTATCACTGTGACGTTCCCATTCTCACTTCTCTCTTCTCTCTCTTCTCTCTCTCTCTCTCTCTCTCTCTCTCTCTCGGGGTCCAGTCCCTGGACCCATTAAGTACCTTTGTAATCTTTTGACTACCGCCCACCCACAGGATGGGTATGGGGTGCATAATAAAGATATTAAACTAGCTCTCTCTCTCTCTCTCTCTTGATTTTTAAAGAGGAGGACTGGTAAGCCAGAGGATGTCGTCGGTCAGATGACCGAAAGCTCCAGCTGTGGGCCATTATATGACTAAGACCCGCGTCAGGAAACATTTGTCCTGTTTCCTGACAAACATTATACCTAATCTCTCTCTCTCTGTCTATCTATCTTGTGCCAGGAGACAGAAGACTGTATTTTACTCATGACCCGAGAATGCCTCATCCAGTCTACTTGAAATTTTCGTTGCTCGTGTGCGGTCACTAAGACCAGAGACTTGGAGAAACTACCATGTGTGGGTGACCAAAGACCTGTTACTGAACCCATTCCCAGCATCCCAGAATGGCTGGGATAACGTCCAAAAATCCTAATTGGCGTAGCTTCAAACGTTCAAAAACACGTTCAACCTAATTCAAAGACAGTGAAGAGTGAAACTCAAATGTTTAAGAGCAAATCTGGCCATTTTATGTGTAAAATAGCGTGAATTTTTTACTCCCATTAAATCACGTTAACTAGATTTTAGTTTTCTTATTATGAACGACTTCAGTATTTAATGGTTGATGCATCTTAACGCCAGGATATTACCCAGGATAGTATCTTTATTTTGGAACCGTTTCACTAGCCAGTGGCTTCTTCGGTCTAATGCAGAGAAAGGTGAAAGCCGATGAGGAGTTTGAGGTGATCAGTCCCTCAGCCTAGTGTCGATGTGTTCAGTCCATCAGTCTCGACGAATGTGCAGCATATTCGCGGAGAAGTGACTTACAGTGCTAGTCACGGCATTATGCCAGTTTGAGAGCCCCGGCATAATGCCTTGGCGAAAATCAAAGGCCTACCATACAGGGAGTCTTTTTTTGTCAATGCATTATGCTGGGTAGCAGCCGTTAGCATGACTTCACGGCCTGACGCCAACACTCCACAGTGACTCCTCAGTGCTCACATGGCTGCCGTGGTGAGAGGAGGTGTTGCACTTTTGTCTCTCATTCGCCCTATCTTTTGTCTGGTGTTCCCTTTGGTTTTCGGCCCAGTGGCTAACGCGACGGTCTGGAGTTTTAAGACTCTCTGATCGCGGGTTCTAACTCCACCCGTGGTATGGTCAGTATTAGTAGTGGTATGAGTGGAGGTAACTCTAGGTTCCTATGTGATGGTATGGTTTATTGTTTTGAGTAAAATTTTGGCTAATACTTACAAAATTGTCTGTAATTCTACCTTTATATAGACAGTTACCAGCAGCCATGGATGGGTAGAAACAGTCTCTGATCACTAGTCGCAGGATGAAGGATCGACACTCATTGCTTCACACACAATGTAACCAGTTATACTCTTAGAGATGATGCTGGTGTTCATATCTTTCAACTTTGTTGGAAAATTATCTACTGACTCTGGTGTTAGTCATAAGATGACCCCTGTCTATGGTGATTCGGATCATTCGATACGTAAATCAGGAAAATATACAACGAAATACAGACATTCTACAAGAATGACTCACGAAATAGCTGTACACGATTTATTCGACAAGAATACATTGCCACCATGAGACCACAATCCATCACTAACCTCAAAATATTCTGCCGAGTGAGAAACGTGCACACCTGCAAGAGGGGAAAAAAAATATGAAACTGTGAAAAATAAAACGTAGAAATAACTTTCTGAAAGTAAACCGTTTTATCAGTAGGCAATCAGAGGTAAGTTATTTCCTGGCCAAAACACATTAACTTGCTTCATTGTTAACTTATACTGATATAAACAGTTATCATTAAAATGACATTAATAATAACCAAAGATAAAATATATTATTATATTAAAAGGACAACATTTTACACGAAATAAAATATCACCTTAATGTTACGTTGAAAAATGTAATGATATTTATTTTTTTTATTATTTTAAAAAAGACAAAGTATCTAAAAAGTATTTCTAATATACCTTTGTTGAGATTCCAGAGTTTCTCTACCCCCGGAGCCCGGCCTTGGGCCAGCCTCTTATAAATGGAAATATCAAATATAAAATGACATACATTAAGATAGGTAACATAATATTTTTAAAAAATAATATTTCCATACCAATGATGTTTTGTCACGTGAGGGAAAAGCAGGAGACACCTAAGCTCATGCTGGGGGTGTATTATGCTGGGGTATATCGTGCTGGAGGTATATCATAGTGTGGGTATATCAAGCTGGGATATATTATGGTGGGAGTATATTATGCTGATGCAGGGGTATATCATACTGATGCAGGGAGTATATCATGCTGAGGGCATATGCTGTTACTGGGGGTATATGATGCTGATGGTAGGGTATATCATGTTGATGCTAGGAGTATATCATGCTGGGGATATATCATGATGATTCTGGGAGTATATCATGCTGGGGATATATGCTGATTCTGGGAGTATATCATGCTTGGGTATATCATGCTGGGTATATCATGCTGGGTATATCATGCTGGGGGTATATCATGCTGGAGTATATCATGCTGATGCTGGAAGTATATCATGCTGGTGCTGGAAGTATATCATGCTGGGGTATATTTTGTTTATGCTGGGAGTATATCATTTTCCTAAAGGAAACCTATCATGTTAATGTTGGGTTATATCATGCTCATGCTGGGGATATATCATGCTCATGTTGGAGAATATCATATTCATGCTGGGGCATATCATGTTCATGCTGGGGGTATACCATGTTCATGCTGGGGCATATCGTGTTCATGCTTGGGTATATCATGTTCATGCTGGGGGTATATCATGCTCATGCTGGGGTATACCATGTTCATGCTGGGGTTTATGCTCATATTGGGGGTACATCAAGCTCATGCTGAGGTATATCGTGTTCATGCTGGGGTATATCATACTAATGCGGGGATATATCATGCTAATGCGGGGGTAAATCATGTTTATGCTGGTGGTATATCATGCTCATTCTGGAGAATATCATGTTCATTCTGGGGTATATCATGTTCTTTCTGGGGTATATCATGCTCATACTGGGGTATATCATGCTAATGCGGGGGTAAGAACATAACACGAGAAAGAAGGAACACTGCAGCAAGCTTACTGGCCCATGCGAGGCAGGTCCAGGTCTCCTACCGGCTTAAGCCACAGACCCAACCTAGTCAGGTTCAGGTCACATCCACTTAAGGAAGGAAAACGGCATCATACCTACTAGAACAAGCCAGACATTTCGAACTCATATCCACCCACACCCACTCATGTATTTATCTAACCTATTTTTAAAACTACACAGTGTCTTAGCTTCTATGACGGTACTCGGGAGTTTGTTCCACTCATCCACATCTCTATTACCAAACCAGTGCTTTCCTATGTCCTATGTGAATCTGAATATTTCCAGCTTAAAACCATTGCTGCGAGTCCTGTCTTGGCTAAATATTTTTAGCACGTCATTTACATTCCCTTTATTTATTCCTGTTTTCCATTTATACTTCTCAATCATATCCCCCCTAATTCTACGCCTTTCTACAGAGTGCGGATTCAGGGCCTCAGTCTATCCTCGTAGGGAAGATTGAGTAGCCCTGTTCTAGGGTTATTCCTGTTGTATATTTCTGGTTTTCTTCCTTTTGAATATATAATATTATACCTTTTGTATATTCCAATGTTATACCTTCTGTATAAAGTAAATGCCTACGAATATTTCAAGAGTGACTGCAGATATTCCTCACCTGGTATTCCTCTAGCTGCTCCTCTGAGAATGCGTCTATCTTATTACCCATTATTACTTTTTTAACCTGTAAGTACATCAAGGAACTCATCATTAGTTGAAAATGCTTCGAATGTTATGCATCAGCGTGTGAATGCGTCATGAACGTTATCTTTTAAATAAATGTGTATTAAATTGTTAATGTATCAACGACGTAGAATATCAAGAGAAATGTTTTTTTAAAATGTAAATACGTCAGGAAACGTTTCTTTAGTGGGCAATATATCAATAAGTTCTTGTGAGGGAAAAGTTCAATAGATAGGAGTAGCGAGGGAGTATATAGTAACAATAGTTTCATTGCAGGTGAAATGCAGATCTAGAGAGTGTACAGAGATCCTTTTTTCTGCACGATAAGTTCTGTCAAGCACCTTAACTACTGGGAACGCTTGAAAGCA